ACTGCTCTTTCACACTCTCCCATGCTCACACTAATACATTAGTCCTTCACACTCACATGTTCACTCACCTTCATCCTCAGACCTCCTCTCCCCTTTTGTGTACACACACACACACACACACACACACACTCATGCTGGTCTTCCGTGTTACTCCTTGGTCACAGACATTTGCCCTTCATGTTCACTCCCACACACACTCACTCACCATCATATTCAGACCTCCTCTGCCCTCATGTGCACACTTACACACTCACACACATGGTCATGCTCGTCTTCCATGTTGCTCCTTGGTCACGTTTGTCCTCTACACTCACACATTCACTCAAGCACACTCACACCACCCCCACTCTCATCTTTGCACACGTACGCATATATCCACTGTCCTTACTCTCCTGTGCTCTAGCTTACACACATTCATCCTCACACACTCATCTCCATGCTCACTTGCTCACACACCCACTCTCTCAGGAGTGGGTCCAGGTGAGAACTCACAGGCAGGATCGGTGCCGTGTAGCAGCACCCCAGGGTCCCCTAGGCTCCTCGTGGCCTCAGACATCAGGGCAAGAGTGTGGTTCATGGCTGTGCTCTGGAATATTCCAGGTTGAGAACGACATCTCTGCATTCACCTATGAGAAGACACTGATGATGGAGCAGAGGTCTCAGATGCTAAAGCAGATGCAGCTGTCCAAGAATGAGCGTGAGCGAGAGGTGCTGACCAGGGGGACGGGGCGCGGGCCCTGTGAGGGTGCATGCACACACAGGTGTATAAGTACACACACACACACGTGCACGCGCGCGCGATGGAGAAGCCATTCTAGATGCTGACACAGATGCAGCTGTCCAAGAATGAGCACACGAGAGAGGTGCTGGCTGGGGGATGGGCTGATGCACACGCCTGTGTGTACATACACAATGGTGATGGCCTCAGTTCCACACTTGGCGGCTGAGCCGTCGCCATTCTTCATGGGGATGTACTGAGAGCACAGACCTCAGTGCTAAGACTGGGATGCCCTCTGTGTTAACCCTTTCCTGCTGGCCACCCCTCACCAGGCCCAGCTCATTCATGACCGGAACACGGCATCTCACTTGGCGGTGGCTGCCAAGACTCAGGCCCCACCCACACCAGATAGGGTGCAGATGACCTGGACCAAGGAGAAGCTGGTCTCGGAGAAGCACAAGGTCAAGGACGCCAACATGGCTGGCTTTAAGGACATCTTTAGCCTGAAGCCGTAAGTGCTGGTTGGGTTGTGGGGCACCCAGCTGGGGGCACAGGGCACAGGGCTGGCAGCAGCGGTCAGGCCTCACTGGGGTTCTTGTTAACTGGGGGGTGTCCAGTAACTGGATAAGTCCTGCCTGACTCAGAGAGCTAGGACCAGTGGTAGTGGGATTCATTGCTGACCATGGTCAAACAAACACCTAATCCCTTTCCCCCATAGTGTCCACTCTGACTGTGGTTATACAGATGTCCACTCCTCTAACTCCACGGTAGCACAGAGTCCTGGGTGTAGTGTCCATGCTGATGTGGTCATTCAGCTGTCCACTCCTTGCCCACCATGGTGGCACAGGGTCCTGGGTCTAGTGTCCATGATGACCGTGGTTACAGCGGGTCCACCTGCTGACCTCGGGTTGGTCTGTGGGCCCCCTGGGAGTGTCTCCCCTGGGACGTCGGGGTGTGCTTGGTGTGAGGCTCCGTGGGGTGGTTCACGGCCCTGAGCCCGAGTAACAAGCTCTCTTCTTTCTCTCCTTCCGCCTAGTGAATGGGGAAACCTGTAAGTCACTCGGCTGCTCTGTGCTGCTTCTAGGCCTGCTGTTGCATGCTTGCCGTGACCGCCTGACCATGTGCTTGTCATGACCCCGTGTGCCTGCCGTGACCGC